CGCATAGAAACGTTTTTCAAAGTTTTAGTTCCACTTGAAACCTAGAGGAAATAGTAAAGAAAGTGTAACTTTAAATTAAAGCACTTCCCCATTATCGCCGTACATCAAATTTTGTGCCACCCCCGCAACCTAGCGCTTCAAATCCAATTTCGCAGACGACATATTGCTGAGATCTCTCGACGAAGTAAGGAGAGGGTCAATGCTAGTTACGACAACCATTCACAAGTCAATTAAGGTTAAAAGCGCAGTGATTGACATGGCCGATTCCGTGCAAACATGAAAAACGCGCAATTCTCCGCTATAAACCTTCGTGGAAACCTCCAATAAGAAAAAAGGACGAGTAGGATTTTGATGGATTGAAATGAGCTCCACAAATCACGTATTATGTAAGATAAATTTTTTATCAGCATATTTAACGGTTATTCCTCTAACACGCACGAGGGTTCATTTTAAATTTAGAGCGGGCCGAATTCTCTGTTTTTCATTTTGACTCATACCCCATGCGTGTCGTGCTTTATAAACACCGCGAGCAGTAATAAATGAGATGAATTTTAAAGTATAAACGAAATTTCGAGGTTAGAATTTTTATTTTTTTTGTTGACGCGCGTGCTTCTAAGCCTGTAAAAGAGGAGGTATTTGCTTTCGCTTTCTTGTAAGGGATACGCACAAGGAATACGAAACTGTTTCGTGATATTGAGAAGATCTCAAAAAATGTATCTGTGCAATTCAAATCAGCTGGTGCGTTAGCCGGCCCAAACGGCATAACCCCTTTGCATGTCACTGTTCTCTCAACAAAAAAAACAATTATCCCTTTTCCACCAATCGCAAACCATCACTCTTATCTATTTACGCTGCCGCGACTGCAAATAAAACCAACGCAAACTTGAAGACAAGTTTCTGTCTTTGTTCAACCTATACGCTTTTAAACACGACTGGTTATCGCCTTTAAACTGCTCAGTCTTTAGTTGAAGCGATATATCTATATAATTTTAAATCGGTCGTGCCGTTATCTAACTATGCTCTTATAATACACTCTTCTCTGTGCATCAGTTATTTAATTAAATACTTACTCAAACGAAACTTGTCTTCAAGTTTGCGTTGGTTTTATTTGCAGTCGCGGCAGCGTAAATAGATAAGAGTGATGGTTGCGTTTGAGTAAGTATTTAATTAAATAACTGATGCACAGAGAAGAGTGTATTATAAGAGCAAACGCAAATAAAACCTTCAAACGAAGATCTCCAATGAGAAATAAAGTTATAGGAGTAAAAAGAAAATTGACTTGTACCAGATATACTCTTTACAAGATAGTGGCCGAAGTACATGAAGTGACAGCCGATTGGCTCGAACAGGTGGTAGCGTTAAAACTCCAGGAGTTCAATTAACCGGACCTCACAGCTGTTGCAGTTAGCGGTACCATTGCAGCTAAAGAACATACGAAATTCGAACAGAAATCTTTTCAACATAGATTGAACTTGCTCCTTCAGATAATGTATGGGAAAGCTATGGATTGGTAACGTGATTGACTTCTCCTTTAAATTCTACAAATCAGTGGAAATTTACAAAATAACAAGTCCCCAAGCGTTCTATGGCTTTTGTCTAGTACAGCGAAATATTCGGTTAAACTCAAATCCGGATGATAAACGACATCGAAATAGAAAACGTTTTAGGTTTACCCGATGCGCGCGCAGACAGGCGAATATAATAATCAGCATATACAGGGTGTTACATGACCGCATGTAAAAAAAAATTGGTGATAGATGGGATCGGGACAAGCACTTTTTCCAAATAAACCGAAGGTCCGACGTGTTTCGTTTGGGAGCCACCCCCAAAATAAGTGATGAAATTTGGATTTATTCTTTAATTTCTTCTCAGCAACCATAATAATAATAATAATAATAATAGTACTCGCTCACAACACGGTACACAACATACTGTAATATCTCAACCTCTAACCCAAACAAACACACAAATACAACTTACCGAGCAAACAAGTACAACAAATGATACAATATATACTACAATCAGAGATTCACCTCTGAAGCAAACCACATTATCACAACCCATTAGTATTCAACCCAAACGCAAAAGCCTAAACAGCACTTTAGACTCACAACATGACACACACCATACTGTAATATCTCCACCCATAACTCAACCAACCACACAAACACAACTCCCTGAACAAACAAACGCAATAAATACAAGTAACGTAACATGCACTACAAAGACGTCCTCACCCAATAAAGTAACACGGCCTAGCACAGTTAAAAAACACATAACTCCTTCTTCACAGAAACACACCACGTTATCACAACCCACTCGTATCAACCCAAACGCAAAAACCTAAACAGCACTACTAGCTCACAAAATACAGTAATACCTCCACCAATAACCCAAGCAATAACACAAATACAACCTCAAGGACAAAGAAACACCATAAATACAAGTAAGGCAACATGTACCACAAAGACAGGTCCACCCAATAAAGTTACACGTCCTAGCACAGTTAAAAAACACAAAACTCCATCCTCACCGAAGAACACCACGTTATCACAACCCACTCGTATTCAACCCAAACGCAAAGCCAAAGAAACACTTACACAATAAACTCCATTTAATAAAATTACAGGAATTATTATAATGATTTTTTGTTTTGTTTTGTTTTCCTCTTTCTTGATAGCGTTGGCTTATTGTGCCCATGTGTGTGTTTTTTTTTTTTTTTTTTTTTTTTTTTTTTTTTTTTTTTTTTTTTTTTTTTAAGGACCCTACATAACTTCACCAGACACAGACACAGACACTAATCGTTACTTGATTTTAATCCGTGCGATTAGTTAACCAGGCTAGACCTGAGTTCTCACAAGAAACAACGACCATAATAATAATAA